TATTGCTAAACAGTTTATTGCTGGTGCATCGGATAAAGACGAAAGGTTTAGAGCTGTACTATACGAAATCACTGTCGACTGTTCTTTGAAAGATCTGGTCTTTGTTGATATTGAGAAATATCTGGGTAAACAAGGCGAAAGAGAAATTTTATTCAATATTAATTCTGTATTTAAGATTGAACAGGTTTACCAGGATGGCGATCAAGAAGGACCAAATGGTGTATGGATAATAAAAATGAAGGCAACAGATGAAGGTACAGTAGAAATAAAAAAACAGTTAGAATTAATACGAAAGAAATTTGAAACATGTAGTAGTATGAATAATACGTTATTTGGACGTCTTCTATTAGATATGGGTTATTATACCAAAGCTGAGTCCTACTTTCAAATGATGTTAAATGTATTACCTAAAAAACATAAAGATCGAGCATCGGTTTACGATCATATTGGCGATCTGCATATGCATACAACAAGTTGGAATGAAGCATTTAAATGCTTCTCGCAGGCTTATGAAATAAAAATGAAATCTTGTCATCATAGATATCTAGGTGAAACATTAAATAACATTGGAAATTATTATAAAGCGATAGGATACTTTGATATGGCATGCAGTTTTTATGAAAAAGCATTAAATTGCGAAAGCATTGATGAAAATAATAACTGTATAATTCAACTTAATTTATGTAGTATTTACCTAAAACAGAAACAATATAATCAAGCACTTGATCTGTGTCTTAAAGCTCGTGATAAACTTCAACAGGTACAACCATCACTCTATACAGAAATTATTTATTGTCATGGTATAATTGGCGATATCTATTTTAATCAACAGGAGTATGCTACAGCTGAATCATTTTATTTTACGGCATTTAAAATGAGTAAAATACATTTAGTAATTGGCGATCGTCTACGGACAAAATGTATTGAGGCATTGATTGATCTCTATGAAAAACAAGATCAGAGACAACGTGCTATTGATTTTTGTCGTGAACAGTTGTCTTTCCATGAGAAATATTTATTAGTAGACAATAGTCATCATCATACTGCTATTATTGCACATTTATTACTAAAATTACATGAACTTTGTGCGAACGATGAAAGTAAGAAATTAAGTTACTGTGAGAAGGCATTGAAGATTTCAGTAGAAAATATTTGTGTAGAATATGAATTAATTACAAAATGTTTAATGTTAATGGGACATTATTACAAAGATAGTCAAGTAAAAGACAAAGCTCGTAGTCATTACTTGAGTGCTAAGGAAATACAAATGAAAATTTATCCACCAGAACATCCAATTCACACTCAAACACAAGAACTAATTGATTCTGTTCAACACTAAGCACCTCTATCGGTTTACTGCAAGTCGAATTTAGTAATTTTAGTATTCAATAAAAAACTTGACAGATACCAATCAATTCTGATCCAGGTTATATGTCTTAAATTGTTTGTCTCTTTGTCCGCAATAGAGAAAAAACCTTATTACTCATCCAGGAACAGACATGCAGCTATGAAACTTTCATAGTAGAGATAAACGACTATGAGGAATCAGAAAATCATAATGAAGAATTGATTCTATTGGTTGAAAACTTTACTTCAACTTGATTCGATGAAAATGATATGGAATAAGTAATCGACTATGAAAACAGATTGAGATGGGTTTCAGATTTCTTGGTGATTTCCAGAAAACTTTAGGGTTTCTGTGTATCTCTGAGTTGTCCTCGTGGGTGAGGTATCCAATGCCTGAGGATCTCGCAAGACTGTTTAGAAAATTTTTTACAGTAAGATAAAAACAAATTTTATTCATTTTGGGTAACTGCAACAGAAGCTTTTAACGACATAGCTGGTTCATAATTTCTTCCAACTGAATGATGTTTGAAGCATTTCAATGGGTATCCGTTCGTAAATCCTTCGCTGTTCCAGAGTTGGAACTGACTGCGTTTTTCCTAACCGAACCGGACCGGCCGGTTCAGCTTTTCAAAAAAAACTTGACCATCTGGTTTACCGGCCGGTTTAATGCGTAGTTCAACCGGTAAAAGATAGGCATATTCAATTTTGGCGTTCAACCGGTAAAAAACCGTTCGTTTTCATAGCAGATTAAAGTTCGGATTTTCTGAAAAATCGATTTTTTGCAGAAAGCTAAGCTTGTGTATTTTCAAAATCTTCCTGTTCTAGATACGTTAGGGGAACTTTTATCTCTATTGTTGCTGATCTTTTTTCCTTTTGATAGTAACAAAAATACCGTTGTTTACAAAGGGAAAAAATAATTTTTTTTTTCTCAGTCGCTACCAATGCTTCCATGAATATTGATGTAGATCAGCGTGTCTAACGATCTCCGCTCCTCATAAATGAAGTGTACTCATGAACACAGACACTTTGGAATTACCACACTCTAGGAAAAAAACTGGTTAAATTTGATTAATGTGGAATATATGCGGTGTACATTTAACGAGCTGTTGAAATTTTGTCATGATAAAATTATGGTTTGTGCATACTACCATTACCAATGATTCATTTGGATACGTATGAATCGCATAAAAACAATTGACTTTTCATCTAGTTTCGGAATAGCGATTGCGTTATCTCTCTTTTTACAAGCTTTTGTCGTTAGATGGAGCCCAAAGAGAAGGTGAGATCTTTGATAAACAACTTTACCTGAATATTTGTGAGTTAAACCCTTTGAGCTACACCATGCGACGTATCAATGAAAAAAAAATGTTTTCCTCATGGATTTTATAAAAAGCTCAGTGAAATGTTCTCTTGACTTTATTTTAAAAATTTTATAAATCGATGAGGGAAAAATATTTTTTTCCCATGAAACGTCATCTGGAAATGCTGAGAATTTTTGTACCATGCGATCGACGTTTGAAAATGCTTCGTTCTGATTGTGTTCTTCCAGTACTTCTACTTGTTTTGCTAGCAGAACACGAAATAATAAAAATTCATAACTTCATGATGTATTCAAAACGTTCTAAAAATTTACGTATGTAATTTATTCATATGTAAAAAAATATATATGTAAATTCCGTGACACGACATTATCGCGAATACAAAAAACGACATTACAGTGAACGACGTTACCGCGAAGACTCGTTTATTGGAAAAGAAGAATAAATGAGCCTGGTTTTGTACTTTGTATATCATGTGGAGGGAGGTGGGAAGTGGGGAG